GGCTCTGTCTCAAAAAAAAAAAAAAAAAAAAAAGAAATAGTGGATGTCCTGGTTCGGCACCTGTGGCTCAAGCAGCTAAGGCACCAGCCACATACACCTGAGCTGGTGGGTTCAAATCCAGCCCAGGTCCACCAAACAACAATGACGGCTGCAACCAAAAAATAGCCAAGCATCGTGGTGGGTGCCTGTTGCCCCAGCTACTTGGGAGGCGGAGATAGGAAAATTGCTTGAGCCCAGGAGTTAGAGGATGCTGTGAGCTGTGATGTCACAGCACTCTACCCAAGATGACAGCTTGAGGCTCTGTCTCAAAAAAAAAAAAGAAAAAGAAATAGCGGATGTCCATTCTGTAACAAAGTTGCTTTATTATATGTCTTAATTAAATCATCAAAAATAATTCTACACTCTTAGCAGCGAACTCAATAATATCTTAAGGCCAGGCATGGTGGCTCATGCCCACAGTCCCAGCACTTATGGAGGCCAAGAGGTCCTTGAGGCCAGGAATTCAAGACCAACCTGGGCGACATAACAAAATCCATCTCTACGCAAAAAGTGTTTTTAAACTATCTGGGCATGGTGGTGTGCAGCTGTAGTTCCAGATACTTGGGAAGCTGAAGCAGGAAGACCACTTGAGCCCTGGAGTTTGAGGCTGTATGTGAGCTATGATAACGCCACTAACATGGGTAAGAGAGTAAAATACTGTCTCAATTAAAAAAAAAAAAAAAAAGCCAGGAGCCAGGCCTGGTGGCTCAATCCCAGCCTATAATCCCAGCACTCTGGGAGGCTGAGATGGGCGGACTGCCTGAGCTCACGGGTTAGAAACCAGCCTGAGCTAGAGCGAGACCCTACCTCTAAAAAAAAAAAAAAAAATAGCCTAGCATTATGGCAGACGCTTGTAGTCTTAGCTACTCGGGAGGATGAGGCAAAAGAATTGCTTGAACCCAGGAGCCTCAGGTTGCTGTTAGCTATGACACCATGGCACACTATCAGGGGCAACAAAGCGAGACTCTGTCTCAAAAAAACCCCAAAAATTTGGCTTGGCGCCTGTGGCTCAAGCGGCTAAGACGCCAGCCACATACACCTAAGGTGGCGGGTTC